AGTAGCTCTGTGCAACACCCTGTCTCCAGACACCCGCCTGTTACCACCCCACATACAAAACACATGGGTGTAGTGAGTGACCAGCCAGGGTGTTCACCGAGGCCGGGCCTCAGGGGCGCCTCAACAGCCTGCAACTGGGTAGATCAGAGCCAGATGACTCCTCTGAATGGCTCAAACTCTCACTAATTTATATAGACTGCCAAGTCCACCCCATAAGAATTTAAGGAGATCTTAAAACCCAGCTGAAGCGGAACAAAGGAACAGGGGCCCAGGAGGGGCAACGCAGGTGCTGCTGGGGTTATTTTCCCACAGGGGCAGCGGGGAAGAGGCAGGAGAGAAAAGATTCAAGATGGCTCCCTGAGCATGGCCTCCCACCCACCTAGCAGAAGATCAGGTGAGGTGGGAGCAGATCTTAGCGATCTGGTAGCCTCTAGGATTGGGGTCTTTTTGCCTGTGCATGCAGGTTTAGGACTTGAACTCAGGACCTGGGCACTATCACCACACTGTTTTGCTCAAGAATGTTGTGCTGTACCACTTGAGCCACGGCACCACTTCCAGCTTTTTGGTGGTTAATTGGAAATAAGTCTCATGGACTTTCCTGCCTAGGCTGGCTTTGAACCTTGATCCTCCTATCTCAGCCTCATAGTAGCTAGGATGAGAGGCGTGAGCCCCCAGAGCTAGAGAAGTCTGCGTCCTTTAACAGAACGGCCATGCAAAGCTTGGGGGTGTGTGGGGGTCAAGTGAGCCTGTCACCGCCCCCAGGACACTGGGCAGGCCTTGGCCAGCTGGGAAGGACGGGACAAGGGCCCGGGGTGGTGGAAGAGAAGCCAGGCCTGGCGAAGGATAGAGGGGCCGGGGGCGAGAGGGAAGGCATGGGGGCGGGGGGGGGCCGAGGCTGTGGGCCGCGTGGAGGCCGGGCCAGTGGAGGCTGGGGGGTCGCAGGCGCGGGGCAAAGGCCGAGAGGCGGGGCCCGCCGCGGGGCTTGGGCGGCGGGCAGCTCCCACGCGGGTCAGCGCCCACCGGCCCGGCCAGGCGGCTCCAGTCCCACCGTGACCCCGAGTTCCCTTCACAAGTTTGTCCCCACACCACGCCTCTCTCCCCGCCCCGCGTGGGAAACGGGGCCGCCCCCCCCACTCCGCACCCTGGGAAAAACAGCGCGCCGCGGGCCCAGGGACCCGGGCGGCCGGCGGGGAAACCCCCGGGGCTGCAATGCCCACGGCGGAGCCCAGGGCGAGCCGAGGCCGCGGCGCTGCCCCCGTGCGCCGGCCCGCGGGACCGCAGCCCCGGGAGGGGCCGGCGCGGTCGATCCTCTGGTTCTCAGACTCCGAGCGCGCGCGGTGGGCAGGGAATCGGGTCTGGCTTCCAAAGCTGGAATCCTGCCGTGGCCTGAGCTTTCTGGAGAAGTAAAGTGGCTTGTTGTTAACTGGATCGGCACATCTTGCCATTAGCTGTATTGTTTTCTTCTAGACACTGAGTCAGAGATCAAAAACGAAGTGAGTGAGGGGTCTATCTTCAGGGGACGACGCAGGCTGGGCACTGCTGCCAGCACACACACTGAGCCATCTTTTTATCCGTATAATCCAAGGAGAGCTTTAGCTCCTGGGCAGAACTTGTAAGGAGAGAAAGGAAACAGCTACCAGAAACACCCACTGAGCGCCAGGGGGCTGGCTGCACCGCCCTGACCTGTCGATCCATGGCACCACTTCCATGGCATGTTTCTGCCATTTTTGTAACCGGGGATGGTAAAGGCTCCCTGCAGAGAGTAGCCTGATAAAGCTGCCCAGCCACTGGGGGCTAGCACCTGCATTCCAGCTGGACTTCAGATTGGAGGCTCAATAACAGGAATCCTGCAGCCAACTGGGGAGGATTTTTGTGCCCTCCTGGCTAATCAGGGGGTTCCCAGCCACTCTGGCAGGAAGGAAGTCTGACTGAACAGCTTCTCCAGCAAGGTCTCTGCTCCCCCAGGCTAACTCCATTGCAATTTATCACCGCAGCAATTATCTACAGGACACCCTCTGCCAAGCTCTTCTTCCCTCTCTAGGGCCATAGACTAAACACAGAAGGTCTTATTGGCCTTCTTAAAGAAGGGCTCGAGCCAGCTCTTGAACATTTTGGGCTTGTGTTCCACCTGACAGCAATGATCACCAGTAGAAGCTGACGGGCAACCTTCAGCTTTTTTTTCCTCCAAGAACCATTTGGATATTTATAGCCTCATTCACAGGGCATACAAAAATTTTGATACAGGTAGATACCCTTGTGCAGCAAACAAGCACCTGCATCTGTCCTGTCTTGTAACAAATAATTTTGAGGATCTTACACCTCCCTTGGGCTGCCGGCTCTCCACTCTGTGTTGCTGCCCCACCTGTAACTTGGGAGAGACTGAGCTCAGCTCAGAAGTAGGCAAGGGCAGACAGATATGGGAGGGAGGCCTAGAAGGCCAGGGATCAGAGTGAAGAGAGAATGGCTGGCCCTAGAGCCCTAGCTGGGAACTGCACACCCCTTCAGTCTTCTCTTCTGGAAAATAAGTGTCACAGCCCACAGTAAGGCTTGCTGAGGGGACTGGAAATGGCACAGTGACATTGCCTGGCATCCAGGATTCTCACTACAGAGCAGCCTCAATTATGATCTAAATTGTGACAGGCCAATACTATTAGGGTAATGATATCTGGTGCACTGGTTCTGGGTCACTGCATCCAACCCATGCAGGAACACGGCCCCATCTCAGCCAACAGGCACTGGAAGACTGGCAAGAGCAGGCGGCTCAGGAGAACACTACCATGCTCCACTCTCAACAAGAAAAGTCTGACCAAGCTACCTTTAGCTCTGCCTGGCTCTGGAAAACCTGAAAAATAGCTTAAGCTGAGCTGGAGCTTAGGGGCCTGATTGCACAGCAGATGCCCCTACACACCTGCACACCCATATGCACGTGCAACGCAGGCCAGCTTGCACTCAGGGGCTCGGTACTGTGCCTCGGACCTATCTGATCACAGTAGTACTCCTTCAGCCCTCGGACAATGGTGAGCTTCCTCTTGAGTTGGGTTCAGGGGCATCAGGGTTTTTGCTTCTGGCAAGACTTTCTGGTTTGATCTTATATATTTCATTTATTGTTTCTTTTTTGGTGGTGGTGGTGGTGGCATGACTTGAACTCAGGGCCTGGGTGCTGTCCCTGAGCTTTTTCACTCAAGACTAGTGCTCTACCACTTTGAGCTACTTCCAGTTTTCTAGTGGTTAATTGGAGATAAAAGAATTTCAGGGCCTTTCCTGCCCAGGCTGACTTCAAATTGTGATCCTAAGATCTCAGCCTTCTGAGTAAGTAGGATAACAGATGTGAGTCACAAGTGCCCAGCTGTTTGTTTCTTTTCTATTGTGCCAGCATTGAGGCTTGAACTCAGTACTCAGATTGTGTGTTGCTCTATACCACTTGAGCCACAGCTCCACTTCCTGCTTTTTGTTGGCAAATTGTATGTAAGTCTTACAGATTTTCCTGTCCCAGCTGGCTTTGAACCTAGATCCTCAGATCTCAGCTTCCTGAGTAGCTAGGGTTACAGGCATACACGACCAACACCTGGCTCCTATTTCTTATTTCTAACAGCCTTTTTGAGACATACTGGCATTCAACAAATGCTCATTCCTCAACTAAGTAATGCATTCTGGTCCCTAAGAGGTTGGAACCCAGCCACCAATCAGCAGCTCTATGTGGACATCTGAACGCAGGCCTGGCAGCAAGACGTCTCCCTTTGGCCACCGTAGCCTGCACAAGAGGTCTCTTGCCAGCGGTGGCCTTCCAACAAACAGGTCCTGTCATACCCCACCTACTTCCTCCTCCTCCAAGGAGTGAGGCTCTAGCCTCTGAGCAGGGTCAGTACCTAGGGGGCACGGGTACTGAGCTTGGTGCGCTAAGGCAAAGAGGCCACTGAAGGACCACGGTGGGCAGGCACCTGGGCTGGACAGGACAGCAAGCAGGCTCAGGTCCCCCTCCCCCTCCCCCTCCCCCCTCCCCCTCCTCCTTCTTTTCGAATGTTGTTAAATGCTGGCTCAATTTTCTTATAACTTTTTGGCCTGCAAATGTGGAGGGAAACAATGCACGTTAGCTGGAATCGCTTTCCACGAGAAGCCTGCAAGCCTCTGCAGACGTCTTTTCATCCAAGAGCTTTGGGGTCACTCTCTCAGAGACGTCGCGGGCACGAGGGCCCCCCCCCGTGCGCACCCCGCGTCCACTCCCGCCTCGGTAATCCCAAGCCGCACGGAGCGCCCGATGCCTGGCACCTCGAAGTGTGGCTCTGCGCCCTTCAGTGTGGAAGTTCGGGCTCTCGCGTGGAAGGTCTGGGCCGCCCCTCCCGTGGGAGTCTAGACGGAGGGTCCTGGGCCCCGGAGGCGCTTGCTAGAGGCGTCCACGCCTCGGTACCCGGCACCCGAGGCGCGCGCGCGCACACGCGCACACGCGTCCGCCGGCTGGAATCCGCTTCCTGACCTCGAGCGGAGCGGCGAAGCGGAGACGCGCAGCC